AACAAGTTGGCTAAGTTGTACTGTAAAGAACATTTGATTGATGACTTGTAAATGAAGTTCAAGGCAAGGCCCTCAGCTAGAATTAAATGGAACACCAAAGCTGTAATTTAATTTAGAAAAACTTGTGTGGAACTAGGTTCTATACGTTCGCAACTGATCTTATAATCAACATAATGACCCTAATATTAAATATAACAACTTTAATTTTAACGTAGTAACCTTTATTAAAATTTGTGTGATTTTTAATATTAATGTTAACCTAAAGTATGACGTTAGGTTGAACATAGTGACCTTAATTTTAACCTATTGACCTTTATTATTCATATTGATCGGTATTTTAAAATTTTCATTTAAAACAAAAAAAAAATCTCTTATGACCTTTATTAAAACACAATCACTTTTATTTTAACATAATAATCTTTATTTTAACATAGCGATCCTTTTTTTTTATTAATAAAATAACCATAGTATCTCTAGTATTAGTGGTTCACAATTAATTAATGTGAACTAAGTCTATTTAAGAGTTTGTAAATTTAATTCTAAACACCGTTGTTTTTACAACAGAAGTAAAGTTAAGTCAATTTTCTATCTACAATCAAATCCGGGGATGTTTTTACAGCGGTTATTTAAAAAATGAATACCATATTATTTTAATGATAAACAATATGATCGGTTTATTTTTTTTCACATTATAATATGGAGTATAGACACAATGAGCCTTTTAATATCTACAATGCAAATATAACTTTTGAAAATTTTAATCCAACATAAAATTAATATTTTGAGAACATGTAAAATAAAAATAAAAAGTACAAACTGAAACTAAAAATGTGTTAAATAACCTGTCAAAAATTAAAAATAAAAAAATGTGTTAAATAAAAAAAAGGAAATTTTGTCAGAAAAAACCATTTATAACAACTTTTTTTGTTGGAAAAAACTTTATAAATTTTTTTTGACAATTAGAAACCAGATTAAAATTTTTTTGTTGAGGACAACCAAGAACCCTTAATTCACTTAATTAACCTCTAATTTCTCTTATTTCTTCTAATTACACTTTTAACTCTCATTTAACTATTTAATAATTAAATTAATATAAATTTTTTTAAAAAAATAAAACAAACAAAAACTACCACCACCACCAGCGAGCCACCCCTTCCCCTTCCCCCTCCCTATCCGAGCCACCGCCTATAACCCCCACTCTCGGCAACCAACCTCCAATCCACCGTCGCGTTCGCAACCTTGGCTACTGCTCGCCGAGCTCCCCTGCTTCGACCAGCCCTCCACAACAACACATCACACATCATCACAACCTACTTCCTTCGCCAAATATCAGCAACCAAAATTAAATCACAAACTCGCTTCAAACCGTCAACGGGAGGGGAGAAGGGAGGGTGGCCGACTGGTGGTGGTGAAGGTGGTTTTTGTTTTTGGTTTTTTTTTTTTTTTTTTTTAATTTATAAATTAACTTAATTATTAAATAGTTGAGTGAGAGTTATGAGTAATTAGAAGAATTAATAGAAATTAGAGGTTAATTGAGTGATTAATCTCAGGTTGTACTCAACTAAAAAAATTTACAATCTGGTTTCTAATTGCCAAAAAAAATTATAAGATTTTTTCCAACAAAAAAGTTGTTACAAATGGTTTTTTCTGACAAAATTTCCATAAAAAATGTTGATAATACTATTTTATATTAAAAATAAAGTAATATAATATATTATTTGGAAAAAAATATGTCAATTATGAACTATATAATCATTAAAACATTATAATAGTAATATTTTAAACGACTACTATAAAATTTTCACAAATTTCGGCCTTTATATAATGATGAAAACTTGGCAAAGTGCATAAATTCCAAGTAGAAAATTATTTCTTGGAACCATTCATTGTGAATCTTAGGCAAGGGTCAAGCCGGTATATGACATTCCTTTTCTCAAATTAGGGGTTAAAGAGATTGGTTAGGCAAGTTTAGTAAATGGATATAACAATAACCACCTCAAAGTCTCAAACATATAGTTGAGGCTTGAGAGCTTATGAAATGGCTCATTTAAACATAGTGATTTGTATTGACGCGAACAATTAACACTCAAAATCGGTTGTGATTAATTTTAACATCTGATACAACTAGCTTAGTCCTATTACAAATTTAAATCGATAACTTTTATAATATAGAAAATTAGAAATTGTAAATATCTACCTTGAGCCATACCAAGTTACATACATAAAAAATGTGTTGTGAAACGAAGGGAATATTTAGTATTTACTAACATTTGTTTTGCAAACACTTAAAGTACTTGGTATTTTTGTTTGTTATTATTATTGTGGGTATTGAGGTTAGTAAAGCTGAAAAAAAATAAATATAAAGAGGAACGAAATGGTCATCCCCTCAAAGGATCTAAGCATGAAATGATTATAGAAGCCCAAATGTACAAGAAGCCCTACTGATGAACGGGTCAAGAAGCCCACTATGAATAGTCGAAAGCCCATTTACTTTAAATGTGAGAAGGCTTCGCCTTTGAATGCAACTGGCCAACTGCAAACAATCGAGCCCATTATTGCACCCTTAGTTCCTTATACACGTACATATGATTTACTTCATGCATCAATTTGATTTTTGTGTTTGTTAAACGTATTTATTTGACCATATAATTATATAAAACTAATTTTGTATTATGTATAGATTGTATACTATAAAAAAAATACATCAAGATTAATTCAGTAACGATCAGTATAATATGTAGTAATATACTACAAGTAATATTTATCTTCACATATTAGTAATGAAATGTGGGATGAGTTAACATATAATTGTAAAGTTAAAATGAAATATATATTGACAAGTAGAGGAAGGATGTGTTTTATTCACCTGAATTTTACTTATCAAAATTTACTTGAACTTACTAGAATTATTAAGTCGTACAGTTAACTTATGTAACCCTTATTAACCTTATTTGAACTTAATTTATGTTTTAAAATAAGTAGATAGGAAGAACATAGGTGAAGTATGAAACCAAATTATCTTTATATTACTAGTAATTGATTTAGAGTGATTCCCCAGATAAGAAGCTAAAAATGTATATACAATAAAACCGAATTCTAATCTTCGATTAACCTCATCTTCATTTCCCACATAACTCGTAACCATGTTGTAAGTAATATACACTTCAATGTGAATGATGCAAATCTAAATTCAAGTCTCATTGCTCATACTTCTACTTCATATCTAGATATTTTTGTAGGTTGCAAAAAAAAAAAAAGCAAAAACAAAAGATATTTGTTCATAGGTAGAACTGACTTATTGTAGTCTTTTGTCACTTTTGTGCATCAATAATTGTCAAGAAAGTTCAAGCCCTCCAGTGTATGTGGACTATAAAGTGCTTTGTAGATAACAAGCCTTTTTTATCATGATAAAGCACATCATGCATTTGTACGACATTTATATTAAAGGATGCATAATATAAGTATTACTTGTATTTTTATTCATTTATTTTGTAAATTGAAATTAATTTAAGAATATACGAATGATAAAATTATGCTTGATTAGTATTACTAATATTTTTTTCTATTTTTGACTTGCCTTTTTTTTACCCTAAGGCACCAAAAGCTACCCTAACACATTATTCATCAAACAATACTTTTTGTTTACGTAGTATTTATCTTCCTATTATACTATGAAGACAGCTAGTTGAAATCTATTATCGAAAGATAAATGAGAGTTAAGTTACAGACAATGATCGTTTTACTTTTTTTTTTTTATTACTATTGTGATGTACACTTAATCAATTTCCGTTTATAAGTGAAATGATGAAAGTAATGTTTGTGTTCATTACTTGTTCATTATCTCACTCATTCTATCCATCTACAATCTACCCACTTTCCATCTATATGTCACTAGATAGTGAAAGGCATTATTCATATAAATTTCTCTCACTTTCTAATTCATTATCAATCAATGTGGGAGTTGTGGCATCACCCACTTGGAAACCTTGAAACCCGAATAACCCTTTGTTTTTATACGATTATTGCTTGGATTGCTTAAATTCATAAGCTAGCTTCTTATCAACTTGTTGGTTCAATGTACGAGTTGTTGCCTTTTAGTTAATTAAGCTTATAAGCTTTATTTATTATTAGTTTAATTACTTCAATTCTGTCGTCCTTAATGTTAATAGTAGATTATTCTCAAGAAACTTTTAATTTGCATAAGCCTTATTAATAATTTCGTATGAAGTAGGAGTATTTATGAATGAATGAAAAAGCGTTCAAAGTGACTATTTTGTATCAATAGGCATACGTTAGACAAATCATATAATTATTCTCAAATAGTTTTTTGTTTATTTAAAGTTTACTTTGTGTGAAGTATATATTAATGAAAAAATGTTTAAAGTGACTACTATTTCAAAAAAAAAAAAAAAAAACATCGTATGTGATTATTGTCTATAAGAAACATCTTACCTAATAGTTCCCTGAGGATCTACCTTATATTATTTACTAGATCCTTCCACTAAACTACGTCATTTTCATTTGGTTAATGACACACTATAAAACCCTATACTTATTGCCTGTAACATTAAAAGTACTTCGATCTAACGAGAGTGGAATCCTTATATAGTAATTAACTTGCCATAATTCCTCCGATCCACCCATGACTCCATGTGTCTACGATCCAAGGAGTCTAAGACCTCCTAAAACTCGAGCAATATTCTAATCAACTGAGCTATTTTTTTTTTAAAAAAAAATTACATCGTTCATTATGAAGTATGGAGTACAAAAAAAGCGTTAGGGTCCACTATTGATTCATTAAGCAAAACCAACAACACCTATGAGATAATAAGCCTTTCAATTCATAATATCTAGGCATAGCTAATTTACTCTTAAACCCTTGGATTTCCAAAACATACAACACCTCGGCAACCTAAATAATCCAAACAATCATAATTAACATTACCTTCATCTTCTCTATAAATAGAATGAAAAAATATTTTTTTTCTATTCACCTACTAAAAAAAGAAGCAATAATATTTTGTAGAAAATAAACAAAAATAACAACAAAAAAAAAAAAAAAAGAAGATATTTTGTAATAAGAAAAAATGGAAGTAGAAAATAGAGGAGAGAAAAAAATTGTGGTAGCAGTAGATGAAAGTGAAGAAAGCATGCATGCTTTATCATGGTGTCTAAACAACGTAATTTCTGTTTCACATCAAAATTCTAATTCTACAACTCTTGTTCTTCTCTATGTCAAGCCTCCTCCTCCGGCTAATTATTCGGCTTTCGATGTTGCCGGTAAGCATCTACTAATGTAATTATGTTAATTACTTAATTCTGGGACGGAGGTAGTACTTCATAAGTTTGGTCATCTGGTCATTGGATTGGGTTTTAGGAACCCTTTTAGTATAATTTTTGTACTAAGATTAAAATTGTTTTGGCAGGTTATTTGTTTGGAAATGATGTTGTAGCAGATTTGGAAGATTACTATAGGAAGCTTGTTGATTCAGTAATGTCTAAAGCCCAACAAGTTTGTATGAAGTCCAAAATTAACGTATGTACTCTTGTATTGCATATGCAAATTTAATTTCTTTAATATTTATTATATTTGAGAGTGAGGGATAGCTAAGGTGGTGAGCTTCTCTCTCGGTTTCAGGTGATTTTGGGATCGATTCTCATCACTTACCCACGTGGCTCTCTAAACACCAAAAAAATATTTATTATATTTGCTAGTTTTAATAATTTATAATATTAATAGTAACACTATTAATTGTATTATGTTTTAAAAATTACAGATTAAGGTAGAAAAGAAAGTCGGGAGTGGAGATGCCAAAGATGTAATTTGTGGAACAGTTGAGAAATTAGGGGCTGATATGCTAGTTATGGGAAGCCATGGTTATGGATTTTTAAAGAGGTAATTATTTTTTTTATTAAGTTTTGCATTAAGAAATTAATTTAAGATTATTATATAATCTAAATTGTAATCAATATTTGACAACTTATAATTTCATGATTACAGGGCTATTCTAGGAAGCGTAAGCTACGATTGTGCAAAACAAGTGAAGTGTCCCATGGTGGTTGTGAAGCATCCCAAGAACATTTCATGAAGTGCCTACTTTAAATCTATAAATCTTTATTATCTCCCTTTACACTTTTCAATCTCCAAATTATGCATTTGTACAATAATAAATGTATTTAATTAGGATAATGTAGTTTTAATCACACAAACAATTGTTGTACATGTCACATGTACATAGTTGTATTTATATGTTCCGTCTCTTTAGACGAATTTTCCTTCGTGTGTTATTTTGGAATGAAATGAATAGTGTTTCTAGTACAATAAGATATTTGATTTTGTTCCTTTTTTCTCATTATTTAACTCCTTATCCTTGACTTTACAACGTAATCTGTATAAATTAAAGTATAAAATTGTATATATTAAAGTATAAACTAATTTAAATTAATATTCTACATATTTATAATTTAGTGAAATTTTACACGACTCAATATCTTGATCAAATTCAATTAAATGTTTTGAGATCTTAAACTTTATATCTGGATTAAAATCACAAAAATAATCTTGACATGAAACTGAATCATTACTAAGTTGATAAACTAATTGAGCTCCAGACATAACATAGGGCCATGGGAAACACTCTAATTATTTTCTTTAAAGATTCGAAAAAGTAAAAAATTGTCCAAAACTCAAGGCTTTAATACACGAAATCGGACCAATTTTAAAGGTTTCAAAATTTGGTGTTAAAAACACTCAGGATGATATGGGTTGCACCTCAAGGTTATATACTTGTTGTTTAGAACCGTATATCACTAATATCAGTATATGTCCACTAGTGATCACATAAGTTACCAAAGGGAGGCGTAAATTTGTAAATATTACGTATTTAAATTGATAGTTTAAAGGGCAAGGTGGATGATTCCAACCACCTGGATAGACGCTTGAGGTGTCACGGGGTCCATATAAAGCACCTTAGCTTAACCATGTTTCCTTTTGGATTTTTATTGAAATAGTTGAAAATTGTCAAAAACTGAAGATTATCTAAATTTTCGAACCAATTTTAGGCATTTAAAAAAAATTAAAGTGAATGCATGAAGAGTCTCTCCGGGCCATATGAGTTGGTTTGGAACCATAACAAGCCTACAATAGATGTATCTAGTAAGATATGAGGGGGCCTTTACCATCACAATCTCACAGGAGGAGGAGGAGGGGGGAAGGATCAAACCCTCGTCATGAAGGGTAGGGGTGTGGAAGTGCTTAACCATCCCTCCACTCCTTATCCTCTAAAAAGCATCACGATTTATAATTAAGGAACCAATTTGATTAAAAAGAAAAAAAAAAAAAAACTTTTTGGTGATGTTGAACAGTAAAGGGAAGAATCACTTTGAATTTGAAAAATAAATTCTTTTGCCCAATTAGAATATTATTTGATTCAAATTATTTATCTTTTTGCTAGTTATGACTAGATGTCTTATAACCTTTTATCAATGAATTAATCAATTTTAACTTGAATTTTTTTTCTTTTACCCATAAAATATCAATTTAACATTATTAAATCTATTTTTGTTTCCTAAAAAGAAAATCTATTTTTGTTAAGATCATTTAAATTTTAACCTTTTCATTTATATTAGTACAAAATATAGTATATTTTTCTAAGTGTAGTTTATTTTCCTTGTAATTTAGTTATTTTTTTTATTAACTTCTTAAAATAAAAATTGAAAATTGAATAGAGTATACTCAGTATGGTATGGAAAATTCCATAATTCAGCAACCCAATGAGTCAATGACACATCCTTGCACCATTCTCACATCACCTTCCCCTCTTTCTCTCTCTCTCCAGATTTTCTCATCACTCCATTTCTCTCCAAATCAATCTTCCTGTCGGCTGCATTTATTACTAACTATTTTCATTTTCTCGATCATCCCACATTTTTAATCTCAATTTTTTGGGTTTGATTTAAATTAGTTTCTCAATTTTTGTTTTTTTCCAGATCCCAGAAAATCTGAATTTAAAAAGTTAATTTATAATTATGTTTCTTTGGGATTGGTTTTCTGGGATCTTAGCTTCTCTTGGGTTATGGCAAAAAGAGGCCAAGATCTTGTTTTTAGGCCTTGATAATGCTGGTAAAACTACCCTCCTTCATATGCTCAAAGATGAGGTAATTTTTACTATTAATTTTGTTTTGTTTGTTCATAATTTTTTGTTGATTAGTATTGATTTATTGTTGGAATTAATTTAATTTGAAATTTCTCATCATGGTTTTTGCTTTGATTATTCAATTGATTGAAATTTAGGATTGCCCTTCTCATATTTATGAAATGAAATTTGTCTGAGAAAAATTGAATTTTTGGAATGCCCTTCTCAAATTAATGAATTATGTTTTTGGAATACCCATCTCATATGTGTGATTATTGGTGAAAATTAAATTATAATATAAGCCATCTCATTTTTATGAGTTTTACTGGGAAAAAATTGAATTAAAAGGATTACCCATCACATATTGATGAATTTAGTTGAGAATAAATTGAATTTTCGGAATGCCCATCTTATATTTGTGAACTATTTAAGGGATAAAAATTGAATCTTTGGAATTCCTTAAACAAGAAAAATATGACGGATTTGGAGTTCCGATGTGTTATGTTATCCGATCCATGACTCCATGAGTAATATAGTTGGGTGTCTGCATGTCTTTTTTAATTTATCATTTTTTTTTTGTAATGTAGAGAAATGTAATTTGGTCTTGATTATTGTATAAACTTCTACTTCTTGTATTCTGATTTGTGACTGAATGATGAAGAAATTGAAGTGATTTGGGTGATTTAATCTTTGCTGGGATTTTTAAGTGCGCTGTTGTTTGATATATGTAATGGCTGAATGGTGAGTGCAGAGGCTGGTTCAACATCAGCCAACACAGCACCCGACATCGGAAGAGTTGAGCATTGGGAAAATCAAGTTCAAAGCTTTTGACTTGGGAGGTCATCAGATTGCTCGCCGGGTTTGGAAGGATTACTATGCCAAGGTACATTATTTTGGTTGATAATTAGCTGATATGTGCTATATGGTTTTTTGGAAATTGTTGAAGCTTGGTATTGTTGGTCAAACTCGCAGTGACCATACTGACCAATATTCTTTTATGTTTCATCTGCTAACCAGGTTGTTTTATTCTGTCATTTCTCGTAATTGCAAAGATAAATGTTACTAGTAAATAATATAATCTAGATACAATATATTGCAAGCATTGTTCATATTATGTTCGACGCTGGAGGTGAACCATCCATCTTTCCTTGCATCCATAAGATAGATGAAAAGGAGTAACTGCTTGTGCTTAAACGACGATAAAGAAATACTGAGATTAGCCACATTCTCTGCTTCATTAGGCTATAGCTATGTACAGGATTTACAGAAAGTGATATGCATCACACTTCTTTTGCTTGCTATAAGAGGTCAGTGAAAACAATAAGTGATAAATATAGTCCTTAGCAATTGGCTTGCTTTTAATGGCTTTAAATACCAATAGGTTTAATATAAAGTAGCTGAACTAGTAGAATACGGAGTATTAGCCAAAGGAAGGATTTGAAGTAATTATTGATCTGGATGAGCTGCATGGACTACATCTATTCAGCACTTCCTTCATCTTTGAAAGATCACCCTGTCCTCTTCTTTCACTTCATCAAGTGTTGTATTAAATGGTGTGAAAATTTCTTCTTTAGCATGTTGATTTGTAGATAGAGTAAAGAGAAATTGTTGCTCAATGGCCTCAATCTTTTAGGTACAACCCAAAAAGGAAAGTAAGGACGGAAGGAGTATGATTAAGCTTCCGGGTATGGCTAACAACGCAAACATTATTTTTTTATTCTATTGAGTTTTGAAAGTATGAGACTATGAGAGTAATTGGTTAGATACCAGCTGCTAACAGCAAATTTACTGAACAATGTAAGATTGAGGTGCAGTTAATATTTGTGTGGATGGTCAAAATCAGATCATTTTAGCCAACCACATCAAGCCACAAGCATAGACAATCACATTGTTCAATGGAATATTTTCTTGGGAGACCCAAAAATCATATTCACTGTATGTACATCGCTTCTACTAAGGGTTTTGATAAAAGATTCCTTTTAATATGGAAAGGGACAAAGTGTTATTATCTGTTCTTTAAAGAGTGATAGTGCTTTGCATTGCTCTAAAGAAGCCAACAATCCTTCACTGATTATTTGTCTTATCAGTGAAATGGCATGGCATGGCTTGGACAAGGGTAGAGTGCTTGACTGAATTAATCAAATGCGTAGTTGAAAACATTCTCTTTGAAAGTGAAATTGATTCTTCTAGTCTCATAGCCTTCCTTGGAGCTGCTTCTTGTAAAATGGCGAGGGAGACGCGCAGACGCGTTGTACAAGATCTCATATACAGATTTCTTGTAGCCAGGTTTAGCAAGCAGGAGACTTAGCTTGGTGCATAGTGCTTAAATATAAGTATGAATGACTTTCTTTAGACTCTCTTACCACCCTAAAAAAAAAAAAAAAAAAAAAAAAAAACTGAAATTCGTTTAATCTGAAAAGGAATTGGCTGTATGGGGTAGATCATTTACTGTGATAGTTACTATTCTTAAAACTGACTGGTAATTAAAGAATTTGGCAAACTAGCGTCTTTTCTCATTTCAGACCAGCCTTGATGAATTTTTCCTCTTGTAGTGAATTCTGGCTAAGGCCAATATAGGGGTTTCTTAATACTTATGGAGTAGTTTTTATATCCTAGTATTTTACATGTATAACACGTGCATTTGTTTCTTGTATTTGTTGTACTATTGGCTTTTATTCTGTATGATTTCCACTTTATCTTCCAACGTTTCTGCAATTTTTATTGCTCTTTAAGCCGTGGACTTGGCCTAGGTCACTCGGTCACTCCATTCTTTTTAATAAAAACACTAAAAGGGCTACAAAATTCTGGTCAGATAGCTTTATGCATGGTCATTCAGGATTTCCTCCTTAGATAATATTCTGCCTGTAAGTCTATAATCCGGATAGGGCCTTCCTTTGGTGGATAGAGAAATGAGAAAGGAAGTTGTATTCAGATGTACTCCGTATAAAGAACAAAAATATGATGGCATACAGTGATTATATATAGGATGTATTGGCTTATGTTTGTAGTGTTGCCGTGCTGAGATAGGTTAAGCAACTTAGCTGGATTCTACTACTAGTGTAACTTCTTTTTAGTTGGGAGTAATTAGATAGTTCCCCCATTCTTGTTTTCTTCTCTCTGATGCGTAGAAATCGGACCCATTTAGTGGAAAAGGACAGAAGGTAAAGAAGGTGAACCACTGGATGTTCTTGTCTGGGTGTTCTAGTTCTAGCACAAGTGACGAAAGGTCAGTACAGTAAGTTTTGAATTTTCCTAGAGGGTGGCGGAAGGGAAATGTTTCTAAAATTTCAAGTTGAACCATCAAATTTTGTTGATAATGGTTTGCCTATTATGTGAATAGAAGGGGATGGAATGTCAAAGTGATTGGCCTCTGGGAGAGGCTGATGATGGCCTAAACCTTCAATTTTACTCCCCTAGTCAACAAAGTAAAGTCTATTAATGTCAAAACAGTTTAACCTTTCCCTTGTTGATTGCTCTCGCCTTTCTTTAATTTTATCCATCTAAACAGGCTGTAAACTACAGTTACAGTGACGGTTTATACTTATAGATTTTAATATGCTGCTTAGGCGACCCATCATTCATAATTTGTCATTTAGAGAGCTACTTGTTTTTTGTCCCATTATTTAAAGCAGATTTTTTTTACAGCGAGCTTTATGGTGTGGAATTTGGATTTGTACTCGTACAAGTCATCTGGAAACATGACTTTTCTTACGTATTGATACTTTGTACTTTTTACCTTTATCAAAAATAAAAGGTACTAGAAACAAAGTTCAAATAAGGAAAATTAGTTTAGATAAGGGTTACCTAAATACATTTCACATCCAAAATAACTTCAAATAAAAAGTTTTTTTTTTTTCCTTTTCTTTCTTTCTTTCTTGGTGAAGTAGTAGTCTAGTAGGACACCTTTGGATATTTATACAGGGCATCATATTACATATCCAGATGTCAATTTGTTGCCATTAATTGGTGAAATAAGAACATGTTATATTTGGTACAGTACAAGTTATGCATATATTTTCTCTCGCAGGTGGATGCTGTGGTGTACCTGGTTGATGCATTTGATAAGGAGAGGTTTTTTGAGTCAAAGAAGGAACTAGATGCCCTTCTATCTGATGAAGCCTTGGCTAACGTTCCATTTCTCATCTTAGGCAACAAGATTGACATACCATATGCAGCTTCAGAGGATGAACTGCGCTACCATCTTGGACTGTCCAACTGTACAACAGGCAAAGGTAAAGTAAACCTGGCTGGCTCCAATGTCCGACCTCTCGAGGTTTTCATGTGCAGTATTGTCCGCAAAATGGGTTATGGTGAAGGATTCAAGTGGATGTCCGAGTACATCAACTAGAAGATTGCGTTGGCTAAGTTTCACACCTTGTTAACAAGAAGGAATATGTAGGGTATGAACTAAAATATTAAGCGAGGTTGATGTTATACATCACTTAGTTTGAAATCGTTTTTAATTTTTTTAATTAAGTGGCTGGGATTAAGAATTTTATTGCCTCGGATTTGCATGGAACAGCCAGTGAATTTTTGAATCATGCAGTCTAATCAGGATTTTTACCCATTTTGAGTTAACATTTCATATCTGCTTGAAAAAGTCTATTTAAACCTTCTAGGCCTAATTTTTTGTCTTCGAATTTTGAAGTAATAGCTCTTCAGTTCAGAGTAATATCTTGTTACTTGTCTATCTCTCGCAGGTAAAACCCATAGTATTATGTAACACCCCTCAAAAAGCGAAGACCCATAATCTTCTACGTACTAACTATAATGAAAGGAAAAAAATTAAAAAATTACCCAAACATTAATTATGGGTGCGTTCCACAATAGCTTTTAAAATGTCGGTTAAATTGCTTAAAAACTGTCAATCGAAGAATATTGGCACAAAACGAGTTATTCACACTCATAAGAGTCCTAACATACTATGAAGTACTAGTATATTTTATCCCTCATGATTCTTGAACAAACCAAAGCCTAATTTCCAATTTTTCATTAGATTTTTTAGATTTTAGCTATTACGTATCAAAAGTTATCTTATGAATGTGAATAATACTCTCAATATACATACCAATTCTATTAATTTAATTTATAGATTGTGTCAAAAAAAAAAAATTTAATTTGTAGATATATTCAACTTCTTTTTTCTACTCACTCCGATTCCTTTAGTTCTTCTCATTTGGAATCTTGGTATTTTTTTTTTATTTTAGGAATCTTGGTCTATTCATAAATTGAAAGAATCTTCTTAATAACTCTCAATATATAAAACACAATGTAGACATATTTGGTTTAATTTGATGTGTCTCAATAAGTAGTTTATTAATATTTAATTGTAATAATTTTTTATAAATATGTAAAATAGTTTTTTATAATCAAAAGTAATATATTGACAAATGTACACATGCAAAATGTGAAAAACATTTAATATATGGGAGAGTATTTAGAACAAACCCGAGTCTAAATTAGCCAATTTAGTCAATCAAGTCGGACCCGATCAATTTCACTAGGTCGGTAGAGCTAGGAGCTAGTTTGATATTTCACATATGTTTTTCATTGCAAAATGATAAAAGAAGACAACGATAGAAATTAACCCATGATTAAATAATCTTGATCCAAAACCAAAAGGAAATAACCCATGAAATTTCCCTTAAAAATTTAATCACACATTTCCTTCCACGTCACAATTTTTTAATACAAAGACATTTTCCATTCAACGTATACTCGTTTAATCATTTTACTATTGACTTTTGAACTCTTCCCTTAAATCACACGTACTACACTCTCTTTTGACATTATATATATTTTACATCAATTTTTTTTTATTATAAATAGAGCCTTTCTATCTCAAATCTCACACAACAAAAAAAAAAAAAAAAAAAAAAAAAAAAAAACTACCAACATCAAAATAATTTGACCTTTTTTTTTCTCTAGGAAAAACCAAAAAAAAAAAAAATGTTTAATTTGAGTTCATGTTTTAAGGTTCAAAATTCATCAAACACAAAAAATATGGCAAAGTTAGTAGATTCACTAGGGCAACTAAAACTTGTGAACCTCCCTACAACGGTTGCTGAACTAATGCTTGAACATCCCGGCTTCGCGATCGCTCCCATGGATGAACTCCGGGAGACTCGTCGTATAACGGCGATGAGGGCAGATGATGTGTTACATGGTCGGAAAGTTTACCTATTAGTGCCGGTTGATAAAGTCAACTCTAGGTTGACTGAGTTGCAAATGGCTGCTATTGACTCTCTTGTTTGTTCTTGTAAAGGTGGAAGGACACGTGGCGGTTCTAAGGTTTCTCCTGACTTGGAGGCTAATGGTTTAGATGGTCAAAGTTTGGAGGACTTGGTGAAGGATTTGAGTGAGAAGTGTACAGGTTTAACCCGTCAAAGAAAGAGAATTTGTAAGGTTTGGGAACCTGTTCTTGAACCCATTTTAGAAGGATGCTAATTAAATTTAGAATGTACAAGTATATAATAGTACTTATTAGTGAATTTTGATTTTTGACTAGTAATTTGATACTTATGTAAAAACCAAATTAAAAACAATTTGTGGATCCGTATTATTATTGTATATAAACCTAACATGATTAAACTCCATGATAGGTTTATTTATATACTTTATCTCTTTAGTCTTGAGACTATTGTATTAAATTAATTTCATTTGTGGAGTAATAAGCTCTCCACAGAAGTCTGAAAAGGTGTACATCCATCATTATAATAATTTTCCAAACCATCTATATGATGACTATAATGTGATAATGATTGTTGTTGTTATATTTCTTCATTGAATAATGTACAATATATATAGAAGTACAAGGTGAGGAAAGAGGTAAAACAGAATCCTACAAAATCGGAAGAAGATAACTCTAATATGTACAGCAATAGAGTGAGTCTATCGAGCTGGCACGCGGTGATGATTATCAATCAATAACAAACAAGTCTTCTCCTATAATCATGTGATATTGATGAGCATTGCATGATTATCCTTATACCGTAACAATGACTTACAAAATTATAAGAATACAATCTACCGAAATTATTGTAAAAGAATATAGTGTTCTTCTCAACATTGGAAATCTCCGTGATAATAAATAATTTAAGAGCTTGTAAGTTAGAATCTCCTGTATAACATAACCGCCATCCCTCATCCTTGACGAAAACCCATATGGAGGAAACAAAATTTAACGAAACTTGTTTGTTTGACAACATAAGGCAAATCGGAATCAAAATCGAACAATAGTCTCCCTTTTTTCTTAGAATATAAGACATGCACATTTTTACGATGTACTACTGGTACTGTACTGTAAATATAATCAAACCTTAACCTCCTCCAAAGATGATCACTTAGTGAATAAACTGCCTTGGGGAAGATACGGAATCCATACACGAAATCAAGCACCTTATAATCATCACTAGACGGAGCGAAACCAGGATAGTAACCAATGTCATATTCCGTAGGAATAAATGGACAAGGAGGAATTACCACCGATTTTCGAAGCATAATTTATATAATTATAGTCTCCCTTTTTTCTTAGGGAATAAGTTAATTATTTTGTTTTCATGTTAGGAAAGTATTTGAACTTGTAGTACGTTTTTTGGTAGTTTCCTTTTTGTTTCCTATTTTCTTATCTTTATATTTATGTATGGTTTATTAATTTCCTACTGTTATTTGGTTTCCTTAAAGTTACTTTCCTAATATAATAACATCATAATGTTTCGATTAACCTTATCATATATTAGTTCTATATATATTTCATTATTCTTTGATGAAAAAAAACACACACAAAGACCTTTTTCCTCGCATCAAATCTTCGCAAAATACTAAAAAATAAAAGAAGAAAAAATGGGAAATTTGAGCTCATGTTTTGAAATAAAAAAAGAAAGCATGGCAAAATTAATTGATTCGCATGGAAAAATAATTTTAGTCCTTCCTTCAACGGCTGCTGAAATAATGCTCAAGCACCCTGGTTTCGCCGTCACTTCAATTGAAGAACTCCGGCAAACTCGCCAGCTTCGGTCATTGAGAGATGATGACGTGTTACTTGCTCGGAAAGTTTACCTACTAGTGCCGGTTGATAAAGTGAACTCTATATTGTCTAAAGCGCAGCTGAATGTTATTAATGAGATTGTGATACGTTCTTATTGTAATGATATGTTGGGTGGTGGAAGGACACGTGGCCGTTCCAAGGTTTTCCCTCGTTCGGGTTGTTCCGGTGTGGCTAGTCAGAGCACCGTCGTAATCGAGCAAAGAAGGGGATGCAATACTTGGAAGCCTGCTCTTGAGCCTATCTTGGAAGAGTGCTAGAAAGTAGAAACCCTAATATTAATTAATTAATATTAATTAGTATGATCAAGAATTAGTCTAATGGATGTTGAGTACGTAAAATTGTAACGTAATTATGGCTTTAACTAAGGTATTTCATTCTTTGTTATGTAGTTTGTAGTTCGGATAATGAAATTATGAACTTCCAATCGTATGTTATTGATGTTATTTTCGCAATTTAATTAATTAATGATTCTCGATATGGACTTGTTTAAACACGAGCCATAATAGATTACAAAAAATTGGTCTTATTTGTACTAATGTGCTGCAATGATTGGCAATTGTGAAGAATTTACATGAAATTGAATCAATAATTTCATACATGTCCAATTTTTCCAGCTTGTTTACTTGATTAATTAGAATAATACTCATGTAACTTTTTAAATTTAAAATAGAAAATAAATAATAAGAAAATTCCTTTCCCAGAAATCGTGTAACTTTTTAACTTTAAAATAGAAAATAAATAATCAATAAATTCCTTTCCTTATTCAGCCAGATTAATTTTAATTTCATCATTAATATTCAAAGCTTGCATTTAATTTACTACTGGTGTCTAAAATCTATCCCTTAGCAAAATCTAGAACCTTTTGTCAAAAAAAAAAAAAAAAAAAAATTAATAAAAAATAAATTCTAGAACCAATCAAATAATTTAGGCTAATAATAATAGGGCCCATAAATGTTCCTCAAACTGGGCCCTTGGATAATGAAGTCAGATAATGGGCCTATTCCAATCGGACTAAACAAGTGTTAAACATTAACCAAGTGGCCAACTTACACATTTGACCTTGATTTGTTTCGTTTGGGGTTGAACAAGTTTTAGAGAATCACTATTCCTTGAAGAGTTGAAGATCTTTCCTATGTATTGATGGAACTATGTAAACTAATTAATTTATCCGCTAATCTTTTTGCCTTAAAAAAAAATATATAGTTAATATTAATGTATCGTTATATATGCATCATACCATATGTGTTTTTTTTTTTTTTTTAACAACCCTCCCCCACAAACTAGTTACTCACTTGGTTAGAGTTCAACATTTCAATGCATATTTCTCACTTTAGGTGCTCCAAGTAACACTGCATTTATTACAATTTGGCAATCTACGCTTTAACATATAGCACAAGAAGTATATAATAGTTACAAGAACTATATAGAAGTATACTTTTAACATTATCACATACTCAATATAGCCTTACGATGAATATAAGGTGACTATGAAAAAGACGTGACATACATATTCTTAATTACAAGAATTTAAAACATACTCCATAATATATTGATCATTTACAAATTGTCGAATACGAGTTGTTCAGCTTGGTAATTATTGATTAAACTTCCTCTAACACCTAATCTAGGAAGTAAACCTATCTTTAAGTTTTAATAAAGAAAGTGAAAGAAAATCTTACGAACAAGAAGTAAATTCCATCTAACAAGTCCTCTTAAACAGAAAATGTCATCATCAATTATTCAATTCCAAAAAAAGATTAAATTTGGACTTGGACTCAGTTCAACAACCCCATGAACATGTCATACGAAAGCGTTAATATTTGTTTAGTTGTTACCAAGTCCACCTTTTCTATCTATTGAAAGATGGAGCGGTTTAACAAACACCTTCCTACAATTTCTACTTAAATATAAATCTAACGTTACAAATTAAACTATACATACATTACAATTTTTCCGATATATGATTCATCTACTCTCAAAAAAATTTGTACTCTAAGCTTTCATTACAACCCAAAAGAAAGTTGTAACAAAACTCCTTTAGATATTTTACTAGTGTGTATATTGATCATCACCAAAATGGGCAATCAAGTGTCTAATGGTTCACCGGTGACCGGAAAAGTGATCCTTCTAGATGGTTCAATCCAAGAATTTGACAAGCCCTTAACTGTGGCTGAGTTAATGTTAGAGTATCCACAACAAATGGTGGTTGATCTAAAATCAACAACAACACAAAAAAAGCCTACTCCTTTGCCAGCTGATAAAACCCTAGAGGTTGATAAAATTTACCTTATGGTTCCTCTAAGGAAAGGTAAACTAGCTCATTTGTCTCCCCAAGAGGCTCATCATATTCTTCTTAGGTCAAAAACATTTAATTCTTCATCGAAATTCATCCCTCTTTTCGCCAAGATTTGTCCTGCCATGAGTAATATTGAAGATAACTATGATAAGTCTGCGGTATCTAAGAGAGAGGTACTGGGTTCCGATGATAGGAAAATGGAAGAGGGTGGCGAGTTTGATGATGAGGGTTTGGATTTGATTGAAAAACCGGATTATCTTAGTAGGCAAGTATCGGGTAAAAGTTGGAAGCCAAGTTTAGACACCATAGAAGAGAAGAAAAATGAGATTAAGAAGGTGTCTAATTGGGTGATTGTTGCAAATAAGGTTGGTAAGAGGATACACTCTAAGGGCTTGGTTTGGGGTTGAAAACACATCAACATTAATTGCATGATGTACTAGTTCATCCATTGTAATATACTTTTCACAACCCAAAATGAAGAAAAAAACGTTCAAAAGAGAGGGTAATTTTAAAAAAAGTTTGATGTAAAAACTTAAGAGAATTGTTATATATATATTTAGTTCATATTGCTTGTATTAATATTCCTGCATTAAATTGCATGAGAATTATCGATATTATTATACTTTTTACAAGAGTTATTCCTGTCAATTATAGGTGTACCAAGGGGGAAAAAATCGTATCTATCTATCTATTTATACATCTTATCATGATAATTATAGTTCGCGTCGTGACTAAGTGCCCAAATAATTAAGTTTGTTAATCTTTTATTTCAACAAAAAAAAATCCACAACCAAAAAATATCAAAAGTATGCAAAGTTTCCTTAGAATTAGGTACAGTAAAAAAATATCAAAGTATGTGAAGTTTCCTTAGAATTAGGTACAGTGAAAAATATCAAAAGTATGGAGTATGTAAAGTTTCCTTAGAATCTTTTTTTTTTTTTTTTTTTTTGGTGAAGAAATCTGTAATATAATTGTAGAGTAAGGCCCCGTTCACTTCACCTTAATTTTGCTGAACTAAAATTATTTTTACTGATTAAAACTGAATTTTACTGAACTTATTTTTACTGAAATTATTTTTACTGAACTGAACTTATTTTTACTGAACTGAAATTATTTTTACTAAACTGAACTTATTTTACTGAATTGAAGTTATTTTTACTAAACTGAAATTATTTTTACTGAAATGAACTTATTTTTACTGATTTAATATATATATATATATATATATATATATATATATATATATATATATATATATATATATATATATAGAGAGAGAGAGAGAGAGAGAGAGAGAGAGAGAGAGAGAGAGAGAGAGAGAGAGATATTAGGTAAAATAATCTATTTTTGTAATTTATATAGTTGGTATATATAACGATAATATATTATGCCAACCATTTAAATTTACATAATATCGTATATAAAAATGGTTGGCCTATATATTATGGGAATATGTATTTGATATACTTGTATATGATATTAGGTTTAGGGATACTGCCTTTAATTTCATTGCCTAACTTTACAACCAAACATACCAAAACAATAAAACTAATAATAATAAGAATAAAATCATAACTTTATTATAATCATAAATTATTACAAGGATTGCTTCTTATTGCATATGACTATTTAAGTTTATTATTCAACGTCCATATGATGATCTTCTTCCTCGATGTCCCTAACTGATTGCCAAATATGTTCTGCTATCTGATTTTGTACTATATCCATATGAGCTTTCCTACCTTCATCAAATATGGAGTATTCCGCTCTTGGCTCAACATTTGCACATCTTTCTGAAATTGGTATCCCTAAAGTGTACAATCGGATAAAATTATGAAGAGTAAACGTTGATAAGATGATTGATAATTGATATGTTTGAGACATTTGTGGCATGTTTTTCAAAATTTTCCATTGCCCCTTAACGTTGCCAAAACACCTTTCAATTGTAGTACGCAATGAAGAATGACGATAATTGTAATGTTCTAGCATTCCTCGAGGTGGAGGACCATTGTGAAATTCCGGCATATGATACCTTGTCTGCTTGTCTTTAATTGAACTCAAATAACCGAGTGTGTTAGGATAACCAGAATCCACTAAATAATATTTTCCAGATAAGAAAATAAAATTTATATTAGAATAAATTATCCTTCTAAAAGAAAATAATATTAAAGAATTACCTACCTAGAGGAGGGTGTGGAAATTCGAATTTAGGATCAGTTAAGCAATTTCTCCACACCGTTATATCATGAGCACTTCCTTGATATCCAACATTGACAAATGTGAATAACCTATTAAAAGAGCATGAGGCTAGTACATTCCAAGTTTTAGTTCCTTTACGTCCTCGAAACGGTTGACCATCACCATCGGACACAACTGCACTAATATGAGTTCCATCTAAAGCACCAACATAATCCTAACACATGAAAAAATTAATTTTTTTATTATTAAATTATGCTTTTATAAATGCATTTATATGAAAATTAAATAACATATTAACCTTAAAAAAAAGGCCAATATAATGAGTTTTCTTGTACTTCTGGTGGTGTATCGGCCAAATCTTGATAAGGACGAATTAAATCACATGACAATCTTGTCAATGCTTGCAACACCCTTCTGAAATATTTGCTAATTGTGGATATTGACTGCTTAAATGTGTCAGCAGCTTGGCGTTGAGATGCCCCTCTTGCCAATATAAATAGACCAATTCCTACTTGTTCGGTCACTTTTACAAACCTTCCGTCCGATAATAAAAAAATTTCTATCATCAATTGGACTAGTCGCACAAACATATCCCTATCCAATCTTAGTTGCTCTTTAAACAAACCAGGATGAACTGTTAACAACCTTGTTATATATGCTGATCCACTTTCACCCCCGATCCTTAAAGGTAAGCGATGAATTGGGGTAAGGAGTCTCAACAATTCATATAGTACCAAAAACAGTATGCATTTCTGAAGTTACTCATTGTCCATTCTACAATATAAAAGCAACAACAAGAAGTGAGATCTCAAATTTAAACAAAAAATATAAAAAAAAAATATATAAAAAATATTAACGTATAACCTTCAATATATAGATGGTTACAAAAAGTATTGTATATTTTTATGATTGTCCAATTCGTCCCACCCAAGTAGTATATATATATATATATATATATATATATATATATATATATATATATATATATATATATATATATATATATATATATATATATATATAGGGGAGGGATCCGGTAAGAACCCCTTCTTATATAAGAACCCTAGTTATATAAGAACCAATCTCAACCGTAGGATTAGATTGGGATGAGCGGTCAGGATTAAAACAAAATAAAAACCATCTTTCCTCAAAAAACACACAACCTAACTTTCTCTCTCTTCGATTATCGTAGTAGTTCATGACTTTCTCTCTCCTCAAACTCCTAAAAATCTCCATAGAAGCTGCAATTTGAAGGATTTTCAACATTTTTCCTTCATTTTTTTTTGCATAAATTCAACATCAAGGATCATAAAACAAGTCAAATTGTTCAATAAAAGTACAAATTTTGGCGATAAAGCCCTAGATTTCGCAATTTTCAAATTCAGGTACATATTCCTTCGATTTCGTTAGATATTTATTGCTTATGTGCATTATATGTTCGAAAACATTGTTTTCGTCTATACATTGTTTTGGATATGTTATTTTGTTCTTCAATTTCAGTAGATTTTTTTGCAATTTCGTTAGATTTTTTTGATATTTTCATTGTGGACAGAGAAGGCGGCAGAGGATCAACGAGAAAATGAAAGCACTGCAAAAATTGATTCCCAACTCCAATAAGGTGCTACTAAATCTACTTATAATTATTAATTATTTTTCCATTTTATCAATGTTTTTTACTACAATATTTTTTTTATGGCAGACGGATAAGGCTTCAATGTTGGATGAAGCTATTGAATATTTAAAACAGCTTCAGCTACAAGTTCAGGTGTGTTATCTTACAAAATTTGATGATTGTATATTTTATGCAGAGGATTGAAATACAAGTACAATGTATTTCCTGTCGTCACTTAGTTTAATTGATTAGCATTATTATACTTCGTATCAATGTTCTAAATTACATGTTCGATTATGTTCATGATCATGTTCTAAATTTAAGTGTCGTATGTTCTAAATTTAGATGTTGTATGTTGTAAAGATGTTATGGGCTGGGTGCGGTATGCAGAGGAAGTTCAGGGGAGTTCCTTTGGTGTGCTGCGTTCCAAAGCTTAGAAAAGTGGGAATCGAGGGTGGGGGAAGCAAAGGCTGTTTTCTAGGGGCTGCATATGGGGAAGGAGACTGACATGAGGCGTTTGGTGGTGGAGAGCGATTGTCTAAGTGTTATCGAGGCACTCCGCAACAAGTCAGAGACTCAGAGGTGTTGAGTTCCTTGCATTTGGTTTTAGATGATACTCCCTCGTTCCTCCACTTTTCATTTTCGGCCGTATTAGAGTATTAAAATAGATTAAGTAATTAAAAATCGGATGAAATATTAAAATTTTATGTTTAGAATTCTGATTTTGATGCTTAGATTGGTCTTTTGTGAAAAAAACGTGGAAATAATGTAACACATGATATGGCTTACTTCCATGAGCCTGGCAATGATCGTGGAACGATGTAAAAAATTTTAAACATAGGAAAAAAGAAACTTTAGAACATAAGTAGACTAAATTTAGAACATAGGAAAAAAAAATTTAGCACATAGGTAAAAGAATATTTAGAACATAGGAAAAAAAAACTTTAGAACATAGGTAGAAAAAATTTAGAACATAGGAAAAAATTAGAACATAAGTAGATTAAATTTAGAACATAGGTAAAATAATATTTAGAACATAAAAAAAAAATAAAAAAAAAAAACTTTAGAACATAGATAGTAAAAATTTAGAACATAGGAAAAAAAAAACTTTAGAACATAAGTAGACTGAATTTAGAATATAGGCAAAAGAATTTAGAACATAGAAAAAAATTTAGAACATAGGTATAAAAAATTTTGAACATAGGTTGAAAAAATTTAGAACATAGGAAAAAAAAAACTTTAGAACATAAGTAGACTAATTTAGAACATAGGAAAAAAAATAAGAACATAGGTAAAAGAATATTTAGAACATAAAAAATAAAAATAAAAACAACTTTAGAACATAGGTAGTAAAAATTTAGAACATAGGAAAAAAAAACTTTACAACATAAGTAAACTAAATTTAGAACATAGGTAAAAGAATATTTTGAACATAGGAAAAAAAACTTTAGAACATAGGTAGAAAACATTTAGAACATAGGAAAAAATTAGAACATAGATTGAAAAAATTTAGAATATAGGAAAAAAAAATTAAAACTTTAGAACATAAGTAAACTAAATTTAGAACATAGGGAAAAAAAATTAGAATGTAGATAAAAGAATATTTAATACATAAAATAAAAAAATAAAAATAAAACTTTAGAACATAGGTAGTAAAAATTTATAACATAGGAAAAAAAAAAACTTTACAACATAAGTAAACTAAATTTAGAACATAGGCAAAAGAATTTAGAACATAGGAAAAAAAACTTTAGAACATAGGTAGAAAAAATTTAGAACATAGGAATAAAAAACTTTAGAACATAAGTAGACTAAATTTAGAGCATAGGAAAAAAAAAATTAGAACATAAGTAGACTAAATTTAGAACATTGGAAAAAAAAAATTAAAACAGAAGTAGACTTATATATATCAAGCTTTCTCTCACAAAGTACTCTAACATTAATATTTTGTCCTGTACTGCCAGTGAGTGGATCATTAAAATTCGTTGTCTTTTCCTCATTACACTTTACTGCTGCTGTTGATCTTGTCCCTTGCTCTTTTGTTTGTGCCTCCTCTCGTACACCTGAATAGGTGGTTGCTGGTGTGCGTCAACTCGTTCCATAGCAATATTCTGTTAAACAATTCCTATGTTCTAATTTTAGAACATTTGCAATAAATTTTAGAACAAATTCAGTTAATTTTAGAACATATGCTAAAACCTTTTAGCTCAATTGGCAGAGCACTATGCAAATGCATAGAAGATGTAGGTTCGATTCCTACATAGGTTAATTCTAAAAATAACTTTAAAAGGAAAATTAAATTAGCTCTAAGTTATATTTTGTACAAGAATAAATTGGTTGATATGATTAACGACTATAGAAACTTTGTTACAACTTAACTCACATACAAACTCTTGTCTCCACACTATGAAAATGAACCTACGTGGGATTCGAACCCACATCTTTAGTGCATTTGCACAATGCTCTACCCGTTGAGCTAGTAGGCTAATGTATATAAAGCATTTAAACTAAAAAAATTACTAAAAAGATAGACATTAGGTTAGCTCATAGCAGTCCTTTAGTACACTTTTTGGGAAGACAAAGACTATCCCATGTTAAGACTAATGCTAACCAAGCAAGTTTTGACAAAAATATGACTAACAATAAAGGGTAGTGCTTAAATCAGAAAGTATACTCATAATCGATATGCATATCATGTGAGGTTGTTTAAGAAGAGTATACATGTAGTACTTACATGATATGCATAGTGATGATATAGTATGCCAAAGTGTGCAAGTAATCAAAGTCTCAAGTAATGAGCATTCATCACTTACCACTTTCTAACACTACAAATTTTGTAATCCACATTATTAGAGTACTATTTTTAATTCGCACATTCTTTCATCAATTCCTATGAAATCACTTCATATCGTAGAACTTATATTTACATAGTAATCAATAATTTCCACACTTTAAAAACGACATATAAATATCATAAGCAAGACACGATTGACGACTCTGTATGTATACATCAGATAACCCAAGTTCAATGACGAAATCAAGTTATCTTGAATGACAGGCTGCAGCATGCAAATTGATCATATATCAGCCATTCTCATTTTCATAAATACAAGTATAAAATAGAGACATGTGATGAGTTGTGGCAGCCTGGTAGGGGACATTCGGCTTAAAACAGTAGCAGACACAATATAACACAACACCAGAAGAAAAAATTTACTTGAAAGTGGTTCCAGCACTTAGTACTTCACACTTTTTTCATTCTTGATACAAGTCACTTGAAAGAATATAGGCAACTAATATAGCCAACACCAAGTGCAACATAACATGTACAATATAAAGTTTAGGATATTTACTTTATAGTTTAGACTTTAGAACATAAGAACATATGCACAAATTATTCAGAACATGATCAATTATTCCAAAAATATATATTCTGCTTCACCACCAAAATTAGCTAGGATAACACAAAAGGAAAAGACTTCATTTATAAGAATAAATGGAAACTTCCATCACCTATAAAGCAAGGACCCTCTTATTGGGAACATCTTGTGTAGCGCCAACCGACCACCCAATAGATCATGAAAATGCTATCACTAACAATTAAGAACACAACAAGACCGTATAACTAATTTAGAACATGCTGAAAAATAGTTTGGAAAAATAGTTTGGAACAAGACCGTATAACTAATCACAGAAGTCATTTCATTCATTTAGAAATTACATAATTAGTTGCAAAAAATAACAGACACATCACATTTTGTACAAAAAAAACAGTAAATCATCAAAAATTGATTCAAAAAAATTGCAAAAAAAATTATAAATGAAGCAAAAAAAATTAGCATATAATCAAACACAATATCAAAAATCAAAAACTCTGGAAAGATCAATTCGAAATTGACGGATCTATAATCAATTGTTTGAATTTGAAGAAAAAAAAAATCAAAAATTGCGAAATTCTGCTAAGATCTGTTCGAAATT